GAATGGAACATAATTTAAAAATAGGTGTTTATTTGTTTAAAAATAATCGAAAAATATACTTACTTAAAATGTACATAAAATAAGAACGAGTATATAAGCTAGTTTTCTATGTAATCCAGATAGATTTTATTGACTAATTTTATCATTTTTACTGCGCTGAATTCAAAAAAGTTAGGTGCCATTATTTTCCCAAAGTCATCGGAGCCATTTTGAATTTCAAGATGGCTGACGCACCACATAAAACATGGTCATGATTGGTGTCAATGGAGAGCAGTGGCGGATCCAGGAGGGGGGGGGGGTTCAAGGAGTTCGGACGAACTCCCCTCTGTGAAGAAACGTAACAAAATACTATTGGGTCCTGGCTTACAAAACGCATTACCAACTGCTTCTCGTGCATCATGCGGGACGGTCCCGCTTCAAAGTGATTTTGGATGTAACATTAATTTTGTTTGTGTTTCTGTTTTCGTCGTCTCGTCCTTTGTTAACCATACTGTAAGGGGCGGATTTGTGTCCGCTGTTGTTTTGGTGAATAAATAAATAAATAAAAATAAATAAATAACACGCATTTGGCAGAAACACATGCGTGATCTTAAATTTGTCAAGCATTTAGTCTACGCATGACGACGAATAATCACGAATTCAGGGAAAATATATTTAAAATTAGAAGAAATTAGTTTTATTAAAATTATAAAACAATCATGCAGTAATTACTTAAGTCATTAGAGAGCTTTCGTTATCGCGTTTGAGATTCAATTCACCAAAAGCTCTGGCGGCGCGTGTGGTCTTGCGCGTTCATTGTCACAATGTTGATTATCCATGAAGCTATCCAAAAATAAAAACAAATTGAATTAAATATTTTGATAAATAATTTTCTCATTAAAAATAAAGACAACGAAATTCCTAAAAATATATATATATATTAACTACCAAAAAGTCAAAAGAAAAGAAGCTTGTTATTTTTAATGTAGGCCTATTTAATCTTGAATGTTCTAATGTTTCTTAATTCATTTTTTAAAAAATATTTTAAATACAAAAGAATTTGTTTCTGTATTAGTTTCAACAAAGAAGTTTCTGTAATATGGAAGAATTTTTTTTTTTGTTCTTGTTTTCAAAATATCTATCTACTTTTAAATTTTGATTTTAAATTGTGTATAGAAGATGAATATGCATGTTTTTTTTTGTACGCAAGATTGTCTTTTAGTCGGGTTAACTCACTGAAATCTAAAAAAAAAAAAGAATCTGCTATCAAAAAACTCCAAATATTAAGTTAGTTCTGGCTATCTGCAAAAGCCTGGGAAGATTTTTAAATTAAGTAGACTCAAAATCGAGGTCGTTTGAGGCTTTACTTTACAGAATATAGCACTATTACCGTAGCTACTTGCCACCTGCTAATATTTCCCACTGATTTTTTTTTTCTAACTGGAGAGTTATTCCCGGCCCAGGCTATTTCCCCCCCCCCCCATTTTTTCGATGCATTAGTTTTCCTATTGATTTTTTTTCCATCAGGTTATTTTTATTATACTTTATAAGAGAGAACATATTTTTTTTTTTATTTTGTGTTTTCTCTATGTCAATTAATTATTATCTAGTCATTGTAAGGTTACAATAAAAAGGTGTGCCGATGATACAAAAGCGTTATTCAATCAATTGACTGATTGACTATTGATGCATTCGCAATACCGTATTGATGAAGCCTAAATACACATTGTAGAAACGTTTTGAAAGTTTAAATCCGGTTTTACATGAGAATACAGGAAAGAAAACAGGATATCTTTATAACATGTTTCCTCTTTTGGAATTTCGATATCACACCTTTTTCATAGTCGTTCTATATACCCATATTTCATCCACAAAAAACTGTACTTCTACAGTACTTCAGAGGTCAATGCCCATTAGTGATTCTCTTCTACGATACGCCTACTACTGAAAGGTCCACTGATTAATCTCAGATAAGAAAGTATAATACATACTCCAAGTATTGAAATACACGCCATCGTGTTGGGATTCAATATTTCGACATTAATTATGTTATCATACGCCTACTTTTATTTCAAATTGTGTGTTACTGTTGATGGTAGCAAATACGCCTATATCATTAAATATATTTCATTTAATTAATGCTATTTAATTAGTTTATCTGAAAATTAGGTTAATTTATGTTTTATAAAGTATGCGTATTATATATAGACTTAGCCCCACTAGCATTCAATTAAACACATTAGAAACACTTTGGCTCGACGTCGTAATAACTATGTACGAAAGTGTATTCTTCAGGCCTATCAGTTCATCGATCTATGGAAGAAAGAATCCAAATACTCATTGATGTTGGAATATAGAATGCATGCCAAGTTGGAGATAGCTAAAGGCTTGAGATTTAACAGGAAATAACCCAATTGACGTGAGTCGAGGGCCCGTCCAAGGGCCCCGAAAAATGTTGGGCTTAGATGCTCTCTGGGTATACTCTGAATATATCTAGTGCTGAAATTAAACCTTAAAAATGAGTAGCTATAACAGGAACGATAGAATTTTCGATGATCTGGGCCTGATAAAATATAGAATTGCGAAGGTTTATATTATTTGATAAAAAGTTTGAGTTTAATCAAATAAAGCTTGAGATTATAGTGGAAAAGCGCAAACAATGCTATGAGCACCATGCATATCAGTATAATATTTTTGCTCACAAAGTGACACCGGGGTGGGTAATCCCCCTAGAGATAAGTGTTAAGAATGAAAAGATTTTAATTATTAGACAATGCCAAAAAATGTTTTGTGAATAATATTTGGCACACACATTTTTAATTTGAATATTTGCGTGCAAGGGTGGGTCCAGGAGACATGGGTCTATCCCAACCCCCAAAAAATGAAGAAGAAAGGGAGAAGAAAGACCAGAAAGAAGGGAGCATGACATCACTGTAGGCTTACTCCAAAACAACCTATTTTTTTTTAATGTCTGTTGTCTCCACCATTTCTAAATAAAATTCTTTCTCTATATCTGTCCTTTATGGGTGGATGGATATATTCGGTGTAAACACCAAGAATAACCCACAAAAGTCGGAAGAATACTTGTTTCCAGTGAGGTCCTTCTGGTTGTGATTGGGCACCACACCGGCAGTGACCTAACGATGTGCCCGGGGCCCTGTGGTTTTCTGAGAATGGGGTCCCCTTTTTGATCCGGTCAAACTTTGATTGTGGGAATTTAAATTTGCTCGTTTTTCTAATATTTGGCATTGTATTCTAGATTGCTTTTAACAACGAAATAAATTATATATCAGTTGCAGATTTAGGTATTCAAAATAGAGGGAATGTGAGGGAACACCTATTCCACCTCAGCCCCAGCATGGTTGGGGCTAAGTTAAGATAATTTATAAATACGGCACCTCAAAGTGGCGGAATTGGCACTCATATATTTAAAATGCGAGTATAATTTCTATTTTTAAATCAATTGGAAAATTGTAGGTGGCCCCAGGCCGACAGGTGCCCCCATTAAACCTTACGGATATACTATGATATATGTCTTACAGTCGATCTCAGAGACACATTATGTATCAACAAAGCCTTTTTGGGTAAGGGTGCCCGAGCGAGGACCCTATGGGTTGGGGCACCTTCGGGGCCCTATGTGACGGGGGCCCTGCGGACCGCCGCATAGGAGCGCATAGTCGTTACACCACTGTACATCGGGAAACAATTTCCTACTCATTTCCAATTAGTATACTGCGTTCTTTAACGTGCACACAGGCAATAATGCACACGGGACCAACAGGTTAAATGTCTCATCCGAAAGACGGTGCGCTATCGTAACTTGCATTTCAGCCCTCCAACTGAAATACAAGGAAGAACAGTGATGGGAATTCAATACACTACCTCATTCCTAAAGCGCCTTCCAATTTCCATCTTAGAAAACTTAAAGAATTTATCCTCCAAAAGGCTGGAAAGGACTCCCTGTACAGGCGAATGCTTTGTTCATTTTTAAGTCAGTAATTAAAACAACTATAATAATCTCACTACAATAATTATAATTACAATAATAATAGTAATAATAATAATAATAATAATAATAATAATAATAATAATTTTAATATTAGTTGCCTTTTTGCCCTTTAAACCTGTTTCCTTTTGCTGTTATGGTGATGTGGGTCTATTTGTTGAAAAATGTTTAAATGTTAATTGTTTAGATTTTTCTGCTTGAACCCTTTACTTTTGTAAAATTCAACCCATTTTGAGTGATGAATAAAGAATGATTTGATTTTATTTGAATCGGAGACCTAGAGATCCCCACGTTTTAGCGCACACAGAGGCTACCACCAGTTTAGGCAACTGAGCTAAGCTGCTCTGTTACCTGGTTATAAATCTATAAGGTACCATTCCAAAATTTAATAATAGGCTCTATTACAGTAACACTATTAAAATTCAGAGACGGACAAAAATTTACTTTCGCCATAATATACTGTAAAGCAAGCCTACGACTTTTGGATCACTTTTTCTTCAGGTCATCTAATAGGTTTGAAAATATCAATATAAAGACGTTTGAGTAACACAATTCATTGATTGTTTTTAATAAAGTGTTACTTTAATACCAACAAATATGTTGCTCTGAAACATGATAAGGCCAATCTGAATAAAATGATCAGATCGTCCTTTAAGGTCCAATTAATGATGTCGCAGGCGTTTATCATCCGAATACCTGAATTATTAGTAGTAGTTATGCAGCCGTCCGAGGTTCATACATTTAAAAAAAAATTAAAAGAAAATATTTTGTCAAAAGCGGCTGTATTATTAGATTGCTCGGTAGTAGTAAGTAGGGGCCCATCGCCTTTCAGGGACTCATTTGGACATGGAGGAAGGAAGCGTTTCCCTAGAAAGCACACAGGCATTACATAACTGGTCAAACCTCCATAGTGGGGCATCCAGGGGCATAGTTTAAAGAACCCCTTCTAATAAATCTGCCAAATATTGTGTTTGTGGGATTTTGGTCTATTTGGTTTTTTTCGGAAATTATAGAATATGTTACATATTGTTAAGGCGTTGTAGGAGAGTGCTGAGTATCAGTGTTACTGTAAGTAAAAGTATCTAACCCTCTCCAGGGCCCATTTGGACTCGGACTTCGCCCAGAAAGCACATGCGTTACTTAAGGCTTGGTAGTCATGTGTTAGGT